TTGGTTAATAACATTATGTAAATTTCAGTTATACATTAAATTCAATATCTGTATACACTATAGTGTGCTCACCACCAAGAATCTAGTTTCCATCGGTCACCATACATTTGACCCCTTTTACCCATTTTGTCCTCCCCCCACCCTGCTACCCTTCTGGAGCCTGTGGCCTGCAGGGACACTGAGGTGCTCGTTTTTGCTTCAGACAAAGCTTATACACCATTCACTTAAGACCCAGAACCTGCATTCTATTTCTATAAATGGGAATTCACATTCAAACAAGGCTACCATAGGTTACAATGGCCCACCAAGTGAAAATTCCTATGGGGCTACTGTCCATAGTGTGGACAGAACAGAATTACCAAAGACACATCACAGGTTCAGTATTATACGTTCTTTAGCTCCCCCAAATTCCACTCTATTTCCTTCTCAAAATATTCAACCTATTCATCAAAATACTGGGATTTGCTAATACTCTCCTGAATTAAACGTTTCCCCTCACTAGAGGACTACTCTGCCACCTGCAGGGACAAAGCCCGCCTGTAAAACACAGCATAGAGCAGATCATGTGCCCTCTGCAGGAAGCTCCACACCCAAGAAAAAAGAGAAGCCTGGATTCCATATGCCTGTCATTCAGATTAAGTCACTCCTTCAAAGAATGACTCGAGGACAGGAAGCGTTTCCTACCAACCTAACAATGGGCTATGACAGCAACAGGCAATCTTTTAAAACGTTAAGAGCCTGAACTAACTCATCCTGTTTTAATTAAAAGTAAAGAGGAACAATATTTGAAAATGTAAAGAGTGACATACTGGTTAGTTGTTCACCTGACCCTTTTCCCTGATCTCCTGAGAAATAACTAGAAATGGGTCAGTCTATCTTGAAGGGGTCATATGACTATCTTGTGGTCATATGACTTGGTTCCAGAAAGTGGAATATGGGTGCATGTGATGTCCATCTATTTCAGATCTAGATCATTAAAACCTTCCCACATGGATCCTCCATGGTGTTTTCCCTTTGCAGCAGCCTTGAAACCCAGTGATTTAAGATGGCAGAACTAGAAGTTGGAAGGAGCTAGGGTTCCTGAATCACTGTCTGGAGGAATGCTGCTCACTAAAATAGGAACATTTATGTTGGACTTCAGCTAAAGTGAAAAGTTGAAGATTAGCCAGAGAACCTAGTGTTACCTTAACTAATACAACAGTCTTTGTTTTTAAATGTTTTAAAATATATAACTTTATATGTGAAATATCATGTTATCAAGACTAATAATCCTCCAAGAAAATACCTGCTCAGGAGATTAATTATAAAATTCCAATTAAGAGATCAGAAGCTAGAAATCTCAAGGCCATAGCCAGCAATCAGAGATATACAAATTGAAAGAGGAATGTAATTTCTGTAGTGTTTATAATTTCTGCATTTCTACTGTTTCTTGGCTAACCTTTCCTATAAATACAATTCCCCACCATAAGGGAAGTAGAATTCTACTACAACAAAATTGTTATTTATAGACAATTCTAAAAGTATTTTTATCCATTTCTCAGTTTTTTATAAAATCCATTCACTTCCCTATTTTACTGGATGATTCTTTCATGCCTACTCTTCTTTCCACAATCTCCAACATTTTTTCCTCCACTAGGAAAATTGAAGCTATGAAACCAAAACTTCTACAAACTCCCATCCACTTACAATGGTTGTCTTGTGCCATATAGTATTCTTTTCCTCTTGTTACTATAGAAGTTTAAATAAATAAATAAATAAATAAATAAATAAATAAATAAATAAATAAATAAATAAATAAATAAAAGTCCATAGTCAGAGTTTGGGTCGGCCAAGTGGCGCGATGGTTAAGAACTGGCTTGGGTGAGACGCCAGAGGGCCGTGGTTCAGATCCCACATATGAGGGCCAGTGACACTGCCCTCTACAGCTAAGATGCTAAACAACAGCTCAACCTGGAGCTGGGCTGCCGTGAGTCGCCAGCGACGGCGTAGGCTGCAGCCCCTGTGGCAGTGTGTTGCCATGGGCTACCGTGTGTAGCCAGCAGCCAGCGTGAGCGGCCGTCCAGAAGCCAGCAACTGATCTGCCTCGCCCAGGAAGAGCACAATGATGGTGCCAACTTGGGCCAGTGAAGCAACGTCCTCCACAACTAGACTGAAGAACAAAACGACAGCAACTTGTCTGTTCCCCTTCCCCCAATTCCCCAATAAAAATCTTTAAAAAAAAAAAAAAAGTTTATTCTCCCAGGTAAGGCCCAGCACTTTAGTTTTCCACTAGAGTCCATCCTTCTTGCCTATTATAGGACATTCTATAAATAAATAAATAAATAAATAAATAAATAAATAAATAAATAAATTCCTGTTCTCTCCTCCATAATCATTTCCCCCATCCTGAATCTTTCCCTAATTATTTAAACATGCTATTCTTATACCTTTTTTTAAAAAAAATCTTCTCCATGTGGTATATACAATGGAATACTCAGCCATAAAAAAGAATGAAACCTTGCCATTAGCAACAGTATGGATGGACCTAGGGAGTGTTATGCTAAGTAAAATAAGTCAAAGACAAATATATGATTTCACTTATATGTGGAATCTAAAAAAAATAAAATAAACGAACAAACAAAATAGAAACAAACTCATAGAGAACAAACATGGTTGCCAGATGGAAGGGGAGTTGGGGGATGAATGAGAAAAGGCAAGGGATTAAGATGTACAAATTGGCAGTTACAAAATAGTCACAGGATGTGAAGTACAGCAGAGGGAATAGAGTCAATAATATTGTAATAACTATGCATGGTGTCAGATGGGTACTAGATTTATCGGTGGGAGGGTCACTTCATAAGTTATGTAAATGTCTAAATCACTATATTGTACACGTGAAACTAATAAAATATTGTATGTCAACTGCAATTGAAAAAAATTTTTTTAAAGAATCTTCTCTTAACCCACTCCCTTTCTAGGTACTGTTCCATTTATCCTTTTCCCTTTAAAGTGTAACTTCTTGAGTTTCTTATTATTGATGGAGATTGCTATCTCCACTTCCTCTCCTCCTCTAATCTCCTTAACTGCCCCCTCCAATCAAATTCCACTTCACTGAAACTGCCATTGTTAAGATCACCAGACCTCCACATTAACAACACATTAATCAATTTTACTTTATCTCTGCACAGTATTTAACACAATTTATCACTCCCTCTTCTTTGAAATACTTTCTTGCTTGGCTTTGCTATCATTCTGGCTAATTTTTCTATGGTTCTTTCTCATCTCTCTTAACTCTTCTCTTTCTAGGTAATGTTACGCACATGACTGTACATGTTCTAATCCAGTCTGATAGCTTTAAGTACGTATGTTGTTGTCTCCCAAATTTATATCACTACCCTGTGGATCTGTCTATAAGTGGATCTGTCTATAAGCCAACTTACCATCTCCATTTAGGTGTCTAATAGGTTATTTCAAACCTAGTAACATGTCCGAAACTACACTGCTCAGGCAAAAAATACACAAGTTATCCTTGATCCTTTCTTTTTCTTATCACATCCCACATCTAATCTTCAAAATTGATCCAGAAGTTGACCACTTTACTCCCCTGCTGCTGTCACCCTTATTCAAATCACTACCATCTCTCATATGCATTATTAAAATAACCTCCTGTTTTCTGTTTCAGCATTTGGTCCCCTTCTCATAATGTGTTCTCGGTATAGCAGTCAGGAAGATCCCTGATGTTAAAACATGATTTAAAGCTCTTCTTTGCTCAAAAAAATCTACTAATTTCACATCTTATTCAGGGTAAAAGCCAAAGTTCTTACAGTGGCCTACAAGTACTATACAATCTGCCCATCCAACTCCCCACCCTATTAACTACCAGGCCTTGTCTCCTACTCTCCCTTTTGTTCACTATCCTCCAGCTACACTGGACTCCTTGTTGCTTCCCAGATATACTAGGCACACCCCACCTCTGGGCATTTGTACTTCCTATTACCTTTGCAAAAAATATTTTCCCCCAAATAGCTATAGGCTTGTTATTTGTCATTTCAGTGAGGGCCAACCTACATAAAATTTCAACCCCCTTTTTACTCCCTAATACTTACTCATCTCTGTTTTATTTCTCCTTAGCAATCATCAACTAATGTACTACTGTATGTTTTGCTTATTTATTTTGCCTATTTCCCTCAGTAAAATGTAAGCTCTAGAAGAATTTATTTTTGTCTTGTTCACTGTTATATCCCCAGTATCTAGAACCATGTTTCATGCTTAGTAGACACTCCATAAATATTTGCTTAATAAATGTTGAACAATTGAAGTAATTTAGGAAGTCATACTCATCTAGCCCTTTTTCCAGCAACTAAAAGCCATTTGTCAATTTTATGAACAGGTAACACTGCTTCAGAACTGTGAAACTTAACTAAAAGGATATCAAGATTTTTAAAATGAAAAATATTATTAAAATGTTAATAATTAGCTAACCAGATGACCTCACAGAATCAAGGAGAAGCATTTATTTGCATCCAAAATATTTTAATAGTAAACAATAAAGAGTATATCTCGATAATTTGTTCCTAGCATTCAATGGCTAACTTTACTAATTTGAAAACTTGGCCAAAACAGTTTTAATGAATACATGAAAAGGTAAAAACAAAATATAATCATCTAATTACATGAATCATCTGAATTCAATATAATCATCTGAATACAATTACAAGTTTTCAGATAACATGTGGTTATCTGAAACAGTTTTAATGAATACATGAAAAGGTAAAAACAAAATATAATCATCTAATTATGTGAATCATCTGAATACAATATAATCATCTGAATACAATTACAAGTTTTCAGATAACATGTGGTTATTTCACATTTAGGTCAAAATATAAACATATACAGAAATAATTTATGCAAATAAAAAAGTATCAATTTCAGAAAAAGTTTGGCTCTTTAGAAAATAAGAAAAAAAATAAACTATAAATTTTGCTTTTAGGCTCCTTAATCAAAATAACTTTCTGAAATTAAACAAATAGCTTTTCTGCTTCCTTTAGTTTATTTTTCCTATCCATTTTAGCAATTGCAGCCCAACGGTCCTCCTGCATTTTCCTCATAGCTCCAAACTTCTGTGTAGATCCAGGGGTTGTTAGAGATGAAGGTGTCTGAATACAAAATAAAATCATAATGTTTAATTAAAAAAAAACAAAGCCCAGCTTTTGAAATTTGTTTTCTGAAATAAAATTTAAAAGCTACCTTTTTTGTTGTTCTGGCACAATGAGAAGTTGGTGTAATATTCTTGTGTAGTTTTTTCAATGTCTCTTCCTCTGAAACCATGGTCTTAAAGAAAAATACAAAAATATAATTTTGGGCTGCCATTATTAATATTATTAACATTCTGTCTACCTACCATATGAGGAGGAGAAGGAGGAGGAGGGGGAGGGAGGAAGGAACAGGAAGACAAGAGGAAGTAAAGAGAGAAGAAAGAGAAAAGACTGAAGAAAGAAGACTAGAACAAAATAACCTCAATCTGCCAAATAAAGACATAGATTTTGATTCTATTAACTATATTCCTGAGAGTTTACTAAGTACAAGATGTATATAAGTAGTATTTTTCTACTGATTTCTATTTCAGTTTCAGAGTCTTTATATTACCACTTTCTCCTCACCTTACCCCCAGCCTACTTACTCAAACTCACACTTAAGCCCTATAATAACCATTTATCATCCTATAAAACTTGAAATGTCAACTGTCAACTTATGAGTATTGCAATTCTCCCAAATTATAATAGCTAACACTTATTTAGTACTTTATGTCAGGCACTGTTTTAAGCACTTTGCATATTTTAATTAGTTTTAATCCTCACAACAATTTTGTGAAGTAGGTATATTATTATCCCCATTTTAAAGGTGAAGAACTGAGACACACAAACATTAAGTAACTTGCCCAAGATTGTACAGCGAGTAAGAAATGGAACCAGGATTCAAATCCAGGTAGGCTGGCTCCAGAATCCATTCTCTTAATGAATAATCTACACATATTTAGTCAAATAAGCAATCAGTTGACATTATCTTTTCCTGCTCATTAAAGGCTTCATGGATGAAAATATTCAAATTTTTATGAATTCTAAGATTTTAACAGAATTCAGTTAAGTTACGAAGAGCTGCTTTTTCAGATATGTTCAGAACCAGTATGCACCAACTGACCAGCTTAGCAAAGAGAAATTAATTTAAAAATTATGTTGGAAACTATCGTTAAAATTTTACTTAGTGAACAGTAACTGATCATTCATTACTGAATGCCCACACAAAAATAATAATTAACCTAATTAAACAAAACCTTATGTATCCTTATAACTCTATAGCAGTTTTTTCATCTGCTTATTAGCCATTTGTATATCTTCTTTGGAGAAATGTCTGATCAAGTCCTTTGCCTATTTTTTAATTGGGTTATTTATTGTCTTTCAGCTATGGCAGTTCCTTATGTATTCTGGATATTAATCCCTTGTCAGATACATGATTTGCAAATATTTTCTCCCATTCTTTGGCTTGTCTTTTCAGTTTCGTAATAGTGTCCTTTGATGCACAAGTGTTCTTAATTGTAATGAAGTCCAATTTATCTTATTTTTTTCTTTTCTTGCCTGTGCTTTTTGGTGTCATATCCATGAAGTCCTTGCCAAATTCTGTAATGAAGATTTCCTCAATGCTTTCCTCTGAGAGTTTCATAGCTTTAGCCCTTAAATTTAGGTCTTTGGTCTATTTTGAGTCAATTTTTATAGATCGCATAAGATAGTCCAACTTCATTTTTTTGCATCCAGTTTTCCTAGCAAAATTTGTTGAAAGAACTGTCCTTTCCCCACTGGTCTTAGCACTCGTCAAAAATCAATTAACTATATATGTGAGATTTATTTCTGGGATCTCTATTTTATCACATAAGCCTATATCTGTCCTTTTTCCAGTACTACATTGTTTTAATTACTAGCTTTGTAATAAGTTTCAAAGTTAAGAACTGTTGAGTCCTCCCAACGTTACCCTTCCTTTTCATAATTGTTTTAGTTGGTTGGGGCCCCTTGCAATTCTATATGAATTTGAGTAACAGATTTTCAATTTCTGACAAAAAGGCTGTTGGAATTTTGATAGGGATTGTACTGAATCTGTCAACTTCTTAGGGTAGTATTAACCTCTTAATTATGTCTTCTTATGCATGAACAGAATTTGTTTTTATATTTCTTTAGGTCTTCTTTAAATTCTTTCAGCAATGTTTTGTAGTTTTCAGTATAAAGTCTTTCACTTTCTTGGTTAGATTTGTTCCTACGTATGCTTTTGTACATGTATTTTAGATGCTACTATAAATGAAACTTTTCTTCATTTCCTTTTTGGGTTATACATTGCTGTGTATAAAAACATAATTGATTTTCATGTGTTGGATCTTATATTTTCCAAAGTTGCTTAATTAGGTCTGGTAGCTTTTTTGTGGAGTCTTTGTGATTTTCCTTGTATAAACAGGCTCATGTCATCTGCAAATTAAAGATAGCTTTACCTCTTTTTTTCCATTTGCATGATTTTCTTTCTCTCCTTCCTTCCTTTCCTTCTGTTTTTGTTTTTGTTTATAGTCGAATAGATCTGGCTAAAACTTCCAGGACAATGTTGACTAACAGAGGTGAAAGTGGGCTGGCTTCCTTGTCTCATTCTTAATCTTAGAGGGTAAGGCTTTCAGTCTTTCATCACTGAGTATGATGTTAGCTGTGGGTTTTCTTAAGTACACTTTATCATGTTCAGAAAATTTCCCCCTATTCCTAGCTTTATGAGAGTTGTTGTTTTTTCCCCCAGCATCCACAAGCTTTTTAACAACAAGGCAGGATCTGGGGTTTTTTGTTTTGTTTTGTTTTTTTAAGATTTCTTTTTACTGGGGAATTGGGGAGGGGAATAGTGTTTGGGAATTGGGGAAGGGGAACATGGTGTTTTTCCAGGACCCATCAGCTCCAAGTCAAGTTGTTGTCCTTCAATCTTAGTTGTGGAGGGCACAGCTCAGCTCCAGGTCCAGTAACCGTTTTCAATCTAGTTGCAGGGGGTGTAACCCACCATACTATGCAGGAGTCAAACTGGCAACATTGTTGCACACTGAGCCATCCCGCCATCCATTGGCAGCTCACGGCAGCTCAGCTCAAGGTGCCATGTTCAATCCTAGTTGCGAGGGGGCACAACCCACCATCCCATATGGGTGTCAAACTGGCAACCTTGCTTCTAAGAGCTCACGCTCTCACCAGCTCAGCAGCAACTCAGCTTGGGTGTAGTGCAATGGCCCATGTGGGAATCAAACCAGAGACTATTGCTCAGAGTTCACACTCTTAACCAAATTGAGCCACTCGGGGTTAGTTATTGTATTCGCAGCTGGCCCTTAGGCCTCTGGCGTGCTTGAACTTCCGGCCCTTGGAACGCATGTAGAGTTTGGTGTGGCTGTGTGGGGTTCCAGAGACTTTGCTGAAATGCCTGTACACCTCTTGGCCCTTGCAAAGAACAGAGCAGGACAGTGCCACAGCCCTTGGGGAATCCAGGGCCAGCTGGTCGAAGTTGAGGCTCTTGCCCCCAACCTTAAGGATGCAGCTCCGGGCACAGCTACTCACACGAAGCGCACACACCTTCAGTTTGGGGACCTCCTGGACACACACATCATTGGTTATAGTCCCTACAACCACAACAGTTTTGCCATCCGCCATCCTGGCCAGAAAGCTTCAACTTCGGGATCATACGGGAAAGGGACAGAGGTGGTTGGTTGGTGCAACTCATGAACCTCTTCAGCACCACCTGGTTGAAGGTGGAGTTGGTTCATCTGGCCAGAAACCTGTATAGCTTAACCAAAAGCCTTAGGTAGATGTCCTGGCTCTAGGACTCCTTAGGCCAAACCTTTTGGTCTTTGTTGTGATGGATGTCGACTCCCATGATGGCATCTCCTGCTCCACCAGATCCGAAAAGAGCACCTCATGAGTTTTTGTCATGAAAGAATGTTTGATCTTGTCAAATGCTTTTTCTGTATCAATTGAGATCATGTGGAAGGGGTTTCACCTTTGTTCTATTATGATGATATTACACTGATTTTCTTATATTGAACCACCCTGGCTAAATCTGACATGGTCATGGGGAATAATGCTCTTAATATGCTGTTCAATTTGATTTGGTAATATTTTGTTGAGCATTTTTACATGTACATTCATAAAGGATAACAATTTGTAATTTTCTTGTGATGTCTTTATCTGGCTTTGGTATCAAGGTAATGCTGGCCTCATAGAATGAGTTACGAAGTATTTTCTCTTCAATTTTTCGAAGAGTTTGAGATGGATGGTGTTAAATCTTCAAATGTTTGGTAGTATCCAGCAGTTAAGCTATCTGGTCAACAATTTTTCTTTCTTGGGAGGTTTTTCATTACTAGTTTAAACTTTTTATCACTAATAACTTCAAGAAATAATTATAACCAATAAAACCCATTGTGCATTGCCTTTTTAGACTACTTTAAACAACTGTGTGCAATTATATACTGTACTATGTTTGTTGTGTTGTAAAGTTGTGATGCTCCTTTAAAAATGAAATGATATTATGAGTCATTCTGACTCTCCACTCAGCTAAGAAACTAGGCTAAATTCACATTGCTATAAAAATAGTAGGGATTCCAACCCTAGTATGTGTAATTTCAGAGCTCATGCTTTCTACTAATTCTCATTACATTTTTTTATATAACTGGACTTCAGTTTAAACTCATAGTTATTATGTACAACAACTTACACAGGCTTTGGAGACAAACTATATGCGTTCAAATTCAGACTCCATGCCTTAATAGCTAGGTGATCTTAGTTAAGGTACTTGTGTGACTTAGTTTACTCATTTATAAAATGAGAATAGCAACACTGTCTATACTTCTAGAGCATGAGAGACTGTTGTAAGAAATAACTGAAGTAATCTACGTAAAATCTTTACAACAGTGCCTGGTTCACAGTTTTAATCACTAAAATGTTAATCATTATCTATAAAACAAACAGGTATTAGAGTAGGGATTCTATAAGTTAACTTCAACAATGAGGGTTTTAGACTTCAACTACTCATTTTTCCAGAACAAATGAAAATAGAGGGTCCCAAAGCAGTAGAAAAGCTTAAAGGATCTCATAGATATGAGTGGGAATAATGAAACAAATGGCTTTAACTGGAATTTTATAATTAAGAATCTTTTGTTCATTGTTCCATTAGTGTGATGGGGTTTATCAGCTTTTAAATTAAATAAATCTAGTTCAATTATTCTCAATAAATCATTATTATACCTTCAGAAAATACTGGTTTGTGTGAATACGCTCATGGTAGAAAGTAATTAGTCATACAAACTACTAGAGGGAAATATCCTCCTTAAATATTCCATCTTTAATACATTAACACTTTAAGAATGATAAAAATGTTCCAATTGTCAACCTTGATGGAGACTTCAATCAATAAGTGCTATAAAATAAAGGAACATGTAAAATATGCAAACTCAAAAGAGGCTCTGAATAACAAATTTGGCTGCAGCAGTATTAAAAATTGTCACCTAACCTTTCTTTAAAAAAAAAAAATGAAAGAAAAGAAAATGTAGCAAAACTCCTTTATAACGCACTGCTGAAAACAAAGTTAATTTCATATGCCAACTATGCTATATCAAGTATTTCCAAATGCCATGTTTTCTGAAATTTAGAGAATTTATTTGAACCCTAATTTCTTTAAAATGCTGCAAAAGCATAGGGTTCTGTTATAGTAGAGTTCTACTGTATTTCAGTATTACAATGATAGCAATTGTGTATACTTATTATACATATATATCAAGAAATAAAGTAGACAACTAAGTAACGTAAACAAATAATAAATGTTGATTGTTTGCAATATTCTTACCAGAAGATCAGTAGTTTCTGAACTATCCGAATTAATATCAAACTCAAAGACCATTTTTCTCTTTTTATTACTTTCTTCAATGGGTATATTCTTGTTTCCTCTTTGCTGAATTTTTAGTTTTGTTGGTGTCTTCACAGTATATGCCTATCCAAAAAGAAAAACAATACATTATCATATCAAATAAAATACACATTACTAATAAAGCAAGTTGAGTCTTTAGTAATAAATAACTCCATTATTACTGTCATGTATATGAAGTATAGATTTTTGTCACCTTGCAGCTGCCGACTGGAACGCTCCTGCGCACTGATCCTTTGAAGGCAAAGGAAGTGTCTTGGAATGCTGAGACCCGAGGGAATGATCTCAATAAAACTTCCTTATCCAGTGGTCTCGGAATGCTGAGGCCATCCCGGGGATCATACACATGTGTGAAAGCACAACTTGTGCTTGATCACAATGAGTTTCAGTGAAGCAGCTGCCGGTCTAATCGAATCAATTAACTGGGTATAGATATTCAAATTGACTTCTTTGTGACAGTTGTAAATAAAAGTTATTCACCTGCCAGTATCAGGGCTTGCTCTCTAGTCTGCAGAGACAAGACGGCCTGGCCTGCAGAAACTCTACTTTTGACTCTTGTGATTTCTTAACCCTTTGCCACCCCTCCTGGAGCCTCCCAGCCCTTGTCACATGGGACGTGATAGATTTTGGATAAGAATTTAATTCAGATATTCTTGGTAATAAAACTTTTATAAGTTTCTTCAAAAAATATACAATAGTGGACTTTCTTTCTCCCTCCCTTGAACTTAAAATATGGAAAGGGGAAGAAGGATAGAGGGAGAGAGGGAGAGGAAGATACTACAGCTTCAGCAGTCAAAAATCTTAAGAGGGACTTTAATTTTTGTAACAATTATTAACACCAAAGAGCTGAATACACACACATTGCTGTTTCTACAAGAATCCTTACTGATTTATAAGAAAATACATTTGCTTATTTTTTGCTGGTAACTTAATTCACATTAGTCAATATTTGGTATTCCATATTATCCAGTAAGTTTAATAATTTTTTTAAAAGTATCTTTAAAAAATAAGGTCAGCGACATCAGCAAAAATGGTAGAGTAAGTAGCTCCAAAAATTCACTCTCCCATAAAGCAAAGAAAATACTGATAAAAAATATTGGGTTTTTGGAAAAGTCATGATGCATTTTTGCAATGAAAAACATAGAAAAAATACATCATGACTTTCTGACAACCTAATAGTATCAGAACTCTAGTAATTGACCAAAAACTTGGCATAACCTGATTATTATTTTTTTAATGGCTGAACATTTGCAAAAACAGCAAGCTTTACAGTATCTTAACTTTTCTTACCCATCCCCCCCTCTCCAGCTTTACATTACCCTTAAAAAATAACAGCTCACATTCCTGATCCATCCTGGCAGCCACTAGACAGAGCAGAACAGAACTAGGCGTTCTTTCAAAGCTTTATTCCCAAAGAGTTGTCATTATTTGACCAGTCTAGTGGTTCTCTGGAAGACCTCACTTATAAGGCAGTCTGTTTTTTATCCAACTCAGAGATCACGCAGTACAAAAAGTTTTCTCCTTGGTGTGTGTGGGGTAGATAGTAGCATTTGTCAAAAACAATTACAGGCAAGTGTTTTAACTTTGCAGCTCCCTGAGGCAGTGGTTAACAGTTGGGGCAAATGACAAACTAACCAAGAACTTTAAAAAGGACAGCTAGTAAATGAGATGTCTATAGAGCCACAGGATATTTAAAAAGCTCTGACATATTGCTGGAAATATAGAAAGCCACGCACATGCACAGGGCTTTGCATAAGTACAGTAAAGACCTGAGAAGGCCCTAGGCTCTTACCTCTGGCAGATCTTGAGGGTCTGCACAAGCAGAAATTGAAGGCTAAGGCTGAGTTGTCAACTGTCTACCTGAGTGCTAAAGGCATGCCCTAACACATATTTATAGTTCTTTGACAAAGTTTGGGAGATTTATTGGTCCAGCCATTTAAGGAAATTGCTGTGAAAACATTAGCTGAACATTAAGCTAACGAAGTAGAGACTTCAGTAGCACTCAAAGAATACAAGCTTTATGGGATTAGTTTAGAAAAGTAACTGAACAGACAATAACTATAACAAGTAGAAACAACAACAAACCCTGAGGAGAGAGGAGAATCTGATTTCCAGAGCTGTCACATTATATTATTTTTAATGTTCAGTTTTCAAGAAAAAATTATAAGACATGCAAAAAAATTATGGCCCATACATGATGGGATAAGGGTAGCAATCAATAGAAACTATCCCTAAGGAAGCCTAGTCATTGAACTTCCTGGACCAAGACTTTAAATCAGATATTTAGAATATGTCCAAAGACCTAAAGAAAATAATGCCTGAAGAACTAAATGAAAATATGAAAACAATATCTAACCAAGTGGACTATGAATAAAGACATAGAAATTTTTTAAAAAATAGAAATTCTGGAGATGAAAATTACATGAAATGAAAAACTCACAAAAGGGACTCAACATCAAACTGAAGCAGGCAAAAGAAAGAATCCATGAACCTAAAGCTAGTTCAATTGATATTATCCAGTTAGAGGACTAAAAAGAAGAATGAAGAAAAATGAACAGAGCCTCAGAGACTTGTGATACACCACCAAGCATATCAACATACACATAATGGGAGTCCTAGAATGTGAGCAAGATGAAGGGAAGAAGGTATATATGAAAACGTAATGGCTGAAAACCTCCCAAATTTGATGAAAACATTAATCTACACATCCAAGAAACTCATCAAAATCCAAGGAGAATAAACAGTCAAAGATAACCATACTGAGACACATCATAATCAACTATCAAAAGACAAAGACAAATTTGAAAGCAACAAGAGACAAGTGATTCATCACATACAAGGAATCCTCAACGTTGACTGCTAATTTCTCATCAGAACTATGGAGTCCAAAAAGCTGTGGGTTCACATATTCAAAGTGCTGAAAGAAAAGCAACTGTTACCAAATAATTATATATCCAGCAAAATCATCTTCAAAAATGAAGGAGAAATTAAGATATTCCTAGATAAACAAAAACTATAGAATGTATCACTAGCAGACCTTCCTTATGAGAAAACTAAAGGGAGTCCTTCATGCTGAAATAGGACGTGAGACTCAAATACATGAGAAAAAAATAGTGTTGGCAAAGAAAACTGACAGGTAATTTTAAAATATAGTATAAATGTATTTTTGTTTGTGACTTTTTTCCTATCTGATTTAAAACATAGGCATATAAAGCAATAATTACAATAATGTGTCCATGGACTTAAAATGTATAAATATGTGATTTGTATGGCAATCACAGCACACAAAAAAAGAAGGAATGAAGATATACTGAGGCAAAGTTTTTGTATACCACTGAAACACACTGGTATTAATTCAAGATAATCATTTTAAGTTAAGATGTTAATTGTAATTCTCAGGTTATCACTAAGAAAATTAACTTAAAAAGCATACTAAAAAAACAAAAGGATTAAAATGGTATACTAGAAAATAATTATTTAACAAAAAAGATGGCAGTAATGGAGGGATATAGGAACAAGAAAACATAAAGCACATAGAAAAGAAAGAGCAAAATGGTGGGCGTAAGTTCTATCTTATTAGTAAATACAATAAATTTAAGTAGATTAAACATTCCAATTAAAATGCAGAGATTGGGCTGGCCGAGTGGCGCATTGGTGAAGAGCTGGCTTGGGATGCCAGAGGGCCCCGGTTTGGATCCCACATATAAGGGCCAGTGACACTGTCCTCTACAGCTAAGATGCTGAACAACAGCTCAACCTGGAGTCACTGGCGATGGTGTAGGCTACACCCACTGCTGCAGTGGGTTGCCATGGGCTACCGTGTATAGCCAGCAGCCAGCGTGAGCAGCCAGCAGCCGCAGTAAGCGGCCGTCCAGAAGCCGGCAACTGATCTGCCTCGCCTGGGAAGAGCACAATGATGGTGCCAGCTTGGGCCAGTGAAGCAATGTCCTCCACAACTAGACTGAAGAACAAAAGGACAGCAACTTGTCTGTTCTCATCCCCCCAATTCCCCAATAAAAATCTTTAAAAAAAAAAATGCACATTGTCAGAATGAATGATGGAAAAAAGCATAATCCTACTATATGAGGTGTGATCAAACAATACAGTGAATATTTAAATTTAAAAAAATTAACAGTAAAAGACACATTGCCATTAATCCCCCTCACTTTGAACACACTTATCCCAACATTCTTGCAACTTTCCAAAGCAGTTGGGGAAGTCCACTTTCATGAGTGTCTTTAGTTGCTCTGTTGTGGCTGCCTCGATGTCCTGAATCATTTTGACTTTAGGGAAGAGCCAGAAGTCACACGGTGCCAGGTCCGGTGAATAAGGTGGATGAGGACACACCATAATGTTTTCATTTGACAGAAATTGCTGTATACCAGAAGCAATGTGTGACACAAGAACATTGTCATGATGGAGGATGTTCTACGGCACACTTTGAAACACACCTTCTCCCAACCGTAGCTCACACCCAACTGATGCACTGAACAAGTTGAAACTTGTCACACACTCTTACTAAGGTTCAACGCACCACTTCCCGTATTCAAGATCCCTGCCTTTCTATTGGATGGCACTTGCCAACAGCATTCACCGTATTTTGTGATCACAACAGAATGGCTCCATGTCACCCATTGCTTCTGGTACGGCAATTTCTGTCAAATACAAACATTACAGTGTATCCGTATCCACTTTATTCACCAGATCTGGCACCGTGTAACTTCTGGGTCTTCCCCAGAGTCAAAATGATCATGAAAGGTAAACGTTTTGAACTGATTCAGGGCATCGAGGCAGCCACGACAGCACAACTAAAGACACAAAAGAAGACTTCCAAAACTGCTTCAGAAAGTGGCAAGAACGCTGGGATAAGTGTGTTTGAATTGAGGGAGGGGGGAGAGTATTTTGAGGGGGATTAATAGTCATGTGTCTTTTACTGTAATAACTTTTTTTAATTTAAACATTCAGTGTATTTTTCAACCACATCTTGTATACTGTTCACAGAAATCACACTTTAGATTCAATAACAAGAACAGGTTAAAAGTAAAGGGTTAAAAGGGTGGTAAAAGGTCAACCATGCAAATAGTAAGCAAGAGAGCTAGAATGGCTATCCTAATATCAGATAAAATAGACTTAAAAAAAAGTTACTAGAGACAAAAAGACCATTTTATAAGGGTAAAAAGGTCAATCCATCAAAAAAAGGTAACTTATAAGTATATATGCACCTAACAACATAACCCCAAAATACATGAACCAAAAACTGGGAAAATTAGATAATTCAACAATAATAGTAGGATACTTCCATACCCACCCCTTTCAATAATGAAAATAACAACTAGACTGATGCTCAGTGAGAAAATATAATACTAGAACAACACTATAAACCTACTAGATGCTCAGGAAATTCACAAATGTGGGAATACAACACACTCCTAAATAACCAATGGGTCAAGGAATAATTTACAAGGGTAATTAGAAAGTACTTTGAGAATGATGAAAAGGAAAATACAACATACTTATGGGATACAGTGAAATCAGTGCTTAGAGAGAAATTTATAGCTATAAATGCCTATATTAAAAATTAAGATCAAACAGTTTTTTAGATTCCACATATAAGTGAGATCATACAGCATTTGTCTTTCTCCGGCTGACTTATTTCACTTAACATAATAGTCTCTAGGTCCATCCATATCATTGCAAATGGTACAATTTCATTCTTCTTTATAGCAGAAGCTGATGTTATATAATATTGTATGTCAACTATAATTGAATATATATATAGTCACGGGACGTGGAGTATAGTGTGGGAGTGGAGTCAAGGGAATTGTAATAGATATGTATGATATGTGGGGAGAGTAGGGCAGCCGATTAGGGGAGGGGGATTGTCACTTTGAAGGGTAAAAAGTATAACTATTATTGCACTGTATTGTACAGCTGAAACTAATTTCAAAAACATGTTTCACGATAAAAAAAATAGTCAACAACAACAAAAAATTAAGATAAAGACTAGGGAGACATGACAATTAAATGCAACATGATACCCTGGATTGGATCCTGGAAGAGAAAGAGGACATTAATGGAAAACTATGAACTCCAGATAAAGTTTGAAGGTTAGTTAATAGTAATGTACCAATGTATGTTTCTTAGTTTTGACAAATGTACATGGTAATGTAAGATATTAACAATAGGAAAAACGGGGTGAGAAATATAAAGGAATTCCCTGTACTATCTTTGCAACTTTTCTGTAAATCTAAAATTAACTGTAAAAGTTTATTTTTTTTTTAAAGTAAGGTCATCACACCCACCAGAATGTCTAAAATAAAAAAGATGAAAAATACCATGTGGTGGCAACTAGAACTCTCATTCACTACTCGCAAGAATGTAAATTGGTACTATCATTAAAAACAAAACAAAAAAAAACACCAACATGATTTGCAGTGTGATACAATAAGAAAAAATTTATAGTTGGTCTTTGTCCCTGGTTCCTGAGACAGAACTTTTAAACCCTAGTAATTTCCTGAGTGATAGGGGAGCTAGGAGCAACTTTTGGTATAATATTTGGTTTTTGATCCCAAGAATGTGATAGGAGAGTGATTTTTTATTCATAATGAGCTCCTTTCGACGTACCTGATTTTACGCTAATGAAATAACTGGTGGTTAAGGGGCTCCTAGATAGCTTCAGGATGGTTGCTAGTCACTAGAAAGACCAAGGTATGATTAGAAATTTGGAACCTTTCAGCCCTACCCCTGACCTCTTGGGAGAGGCAGTGATTGGAGAATGAATTCATCACTAAAGGCCAATGACTTAATCAATGTGCCAGTTAATGAACTTTCATAAAACCCCTAAACAATGGGGTTCAGAGAGTTTCCAGGTTGGTGTACACATGGAAGTACTAGGAGGATGGCACTTGCAGAGAGGGCATGGAAGTTCCGTTCCCCTTACCTTGCGCTATATGCATCTTTTCCATTTGGCTGTTCCTGAGTTGTACCCTTTACAATAAACTGGAAATACCGTATTTGCCAGCGTATAAGACGATTTTTTGGCCCTGAAAAATATGCCTCCAAGTGGGGGGGTCGTCTTATACGCCAGGTACACTTCAGATAGACTGCCCATAGTGCTTG